TCAGCTCAATGGAAATAGTAATAGGCATCTCGTCAAGGTCGGGAGAAACAAGACTGCGCACTTCATCGAACTGAGGGTAAAAAAACACACACTCCGTATTTTCGTCAACTGCGCAGCGACCTCGAAGTAAACAACACTCAGCAATCACGTTCTGTCGCATTCTCTTCCCATGCGAGATGCGCCGCCGTGGTCCGCCTTTACTCTAATATATATACAGTAAAAAAAATAAATTTACGTGGGATGGTGTGGTAGTGGCTAGGGTCTGGAACTTTCCTTCTGATAAGATGAGTCTCTCTCTCTCTCTCTCTCTCTCTCTCTCCGTGGAACTTTATTGATCTTATTCACCACAAAGTTACACGTAAGATAGGATGAAAACTCTTAATTTATTACCTTAAATACATCAGAGACTCTTAACCCTCACACTACCTAACCTAACCAAACCTAACTTAACCTAACCTAACCAAACCAAACCAAACCTAACCAAACCTAACCTAACCTAATCCTCACACAACTAACCTAACCAACTAATTCACTTATAAACTAAACTAACCTAACTTAAAGTAACCTAAACTAAATTAACCAAACGTAATCAAAGGAATCTTGTACCAATAGCAAGTAGGCCTAATTTTGTCTCGTAATGACTCTTAACACCGTTGCCAAGGAGTAACACTGTAGCACAACAGTATATGAATGGCGTCTTAGGAGGGAGCAACAACAGGAGTAACACTGTGTAGCACAACAGTATAAGATTGGCGTCTTAGGAGGGAGCAACAGCAACAAGAACAACAACAACAGGAGTAACACTGTAACACAACAGTATATGAATGGCGTCTTAGGAGGGAGCAACAGCAACAACAAGAACAACAACAACAGGAGTAACACTGTAGCACAACAGTATATGAATGGCGTCTTAGGAGGGAACAACAACAACAACAACAAGAACAACAACAACAGGAGTAACACTGTAGCACAACAGTATATGAATGGCGTCTTAGGAGGGAACAACAACAACAACAGGAGTAACACTGTGTAACACAACAGTATATGAATGGCGTCTTAGGAGGGAACAACAGCAACAAGAACAACAACAACAGGAGTAACACTGCAGCACAACAGTATATGAATGGCGTCTTAGGAGGGAACAATAACAACAGGTCTGAATCCGGCACTGCCGTGTGTATGTGTGGTATGTGTGTGTGTGTGTGTGTACGTTCTTCACCATGCACCTACAAAATAGCTCGCCAGTATCCATCGACTAAAAGCTCTACTTTCTACCCGTTGACAACATTCCCCGCCCCGAGTGTGTAGCTTAATGTTCCATGGTGGGGGGAGGGGGGGGGGGTTGTGATGGTCTTGAGAGAGTGATTAAGGAACACAAACATAAACTTTAAATCCTGCAACGTATATAATTATATTTTCGGATATGATGCAGATAAAACTGCTTTAAAGTAAATAGCAAACTGGGAGACATATTTAGCGCCAGACCCTACGAATATTTGGCAACCGTATATGTCAGTTGTTAAGGTGCTGTCATCTGTGGGCTGTGTGTGGTGTTGGGAGCACTTTACCTCTTATAGATTCGTTGCTGAAAAAAATGTCATCATAACAGTCAACAGTTATGACCTTATCAGAAAATGTCTGTTATGATGAGTTAGTTACACTCGGTCTCCATAGTGCCCACCACCACACACCCTCCGTCCTCCGCCAAGGGCATCTGGGAGGACACGCAATTTGTCTCTTATTATTGTAGCCCAATTCATAGATCCTTTATCTCAATATTTATTTATACCTGGACCATCAATGTATGGAACTCCCTGCCACAGAGTAAGTGGATTTTGACAACGACTCCCCCTCTTTCTTTGTTCAATTTATGTTTAAAAAATTACCTAGTGAATTAGAAAGGGACTAAGATGTTATACTAGTGTGATCAGTTCAGTTTAGGCCAAATTTCTCTGTACACTTACCTTTATCTGTCACTTACGTGTGAATCATATGTGTGTGAGTGTGTCTGTGTGTTTGTGCGATAGCTGCTTTTCATTATAGATTGTTATAACATCATCGTAAAAACAACACTGTAGGTATAGAATAACACACACAAACACACACACACACACACACACACACACACACACACACACACACACTCTCACACATATATGCATTCAGAAATAAAAACAGCTGCCTCCCGAAAGTTGGGAATGCTGTACAGATGTCGTAGTTACTTCACTCCTGAGCAGTTGCTTCAAGTATATAAGGGATTCATTCGTCCTAACTTGGAGTACTGCTCTCATATCTGGGGTGGCTCTTCTTCTGTCCAACTATTAGATAGGGTGGAATCAAAGGCATTAGGTCTTATTATCTCTCCTTCTTTAGTTGATAATCTTTCTTCCCTTTCTCTTCGCCGCAATGTTGCTTCACTCTCTCGTTTACCGGTATTTTAACAGGCATTGTTCGGTGGATTTGGCATCGTGTGTACCGCCGGCAAGGCCGTGGGCTCGTAACACACGTCTTGCCCGCGGTGCCCACCGTTTCTCTGTGGATGTCGGTCACACTCGAATAACCCGTTATAGTACATCCTTCTTTCCTCACACAACCAAACTGTGGAATGCTCTGCCTTCTTCTGTGTTTCCATACTTATACAATCTGTCTCACTTTGAAAAGCTGATTTTCCGGAATCTTCCTGGCGTAGATTAATATAACCTTTTTCTTCTCTATTTTTAATTTCTTTGCTATTTATTTTTTCGCCCCCTTGGCCCCGTTGTGGGTCATTCGACCTGTACCCGGAAGGGGTAATCCCCGTAAAAAACAGGAAAAAAGAAGACATAAGTGAGACCCAGGCATAACAAACAAACACAGATAAACATAACCACCAGTAAGGCTTGAACCAGATCGGAGAGGCATTACCACCAAGCTATCAAACACCCTAAAGAGTGAGTTAGTTCATTCACGTGTTCTCTGGCTCAGTGGTGATGTTATATGCAGCTGTGTTTGTTTAGATCGTGCGGTATAATATATTTTACTCTTTTTTTAATGCAATGTTGAGTGTCTTGTAATGTAAGTGTGTGTGTGTGTGTGTGTGTCAATTTACTCGTTGGATTGTATGTACGTTCGCACATGTTTAGGTTTGTGTATATTTTGTATGTGAGTACAATTGCCTCCATTTATAACAGACACGGTAGATGGCGTGTTTTGTGAGGTGGCACCATTGTTTGTTTACATCGTAGTAACACTGCACACTACACCAAGGATGCTAATTAAGCAGTCCCCTGCCCTTCTATATGTGAATGCGCTCTTTTTATGCATGGTTATTTACTTTGATATGCTGTAGATTACCAAGTAGAACGTCATTGGCTCCTTCCTGTTGTCTGGTGGGCGGTAGTGCCACGTCTCACAAAACACGCTAGCAAGTGTGTTATTTTTCCGTGTATATGTATACCTACTGTATATGTTATGTATGCATGTTTGCTCGTTATTGTGTTTGTGTGCTTGTGGTTGTATGTAGTTGAATGCTTGTATGTGATTTAGTGTTTGTATGTATGCTTGTATATTTCGTTACTGTATATGCCACTGTGAGTTTGAATGCATGTTTACGTGGTTATAGGTGCATGTTTGTGCTTCTTATCTGTGTATTTTAATATTTGTTTGATTTGGTCATGTGCATGCTTGTAATTGTATGTCTTGTATGTACAGTAGCTAAAACAACTATCTGTGCAGGTGGGGGTCGATATTCTACGAAATTTTACGTGTGACTAGTGACAGCCCTCATATACCAATATTTATCGTCCACGGTCTCATGTTGTTTCCCACAAAGTATACACAGATAGATGTTTTAGCATGTACAGTACATTCATGGGCAAAACTCAGTCACAACGTAAAGCCGTACTTGAGGTTCTAAAATGAAGCACCTCTTTGAACCAACAGATGGCGCACTGTGTATTTTTTTTTTTTTTATTAGGCACCTCCCTACATCCTTGTGTAAGGTGAAGCGCAGAAGCGTTTACAGCGCCCAACAGGGAAGCATGCTATGTTCATGCTTGCCTTTATGTCTCATGAGTTAAGGGCGTAGAAGCCTGAAGAGTCAAGGGCGTAGAAGCCTGAAGAGTTAGTGGTTTATGTCATCAAGTTATTGGAAGCTCCAACAACTTGTCCCTGAATACGAATTCGCAACTTTCGACTTACAACAGGTACCTACTTTACTGCTAGGTGAACAAGGACTAATGGGGGCTAGGAAGTAAGTCCAAACAACTTCCACCGGCCCGGGAATCGAACCCATGACATCTCACTTGCGAGGCAAGAACGGTACCGCTTCTACCACCGATCCCCCACGCACTGTGTATGAAGGAGGAATGGGGAGGCGGGTGGCGGTATGGAAAGAGTAATCACGCTTGTGGGGGTTAAGAATGATGTCACGAAATCATTAGATCCTGATAATGTTAGGATTATAAAGTCTTTGGTTAGTACAATAATAAAGACAATAAAAATATAAATAACGATAATATTATATGCATGACAAAAAACAAATACTACGTGGTAATAGCAGCAACAATAGTAGAGTTAATAGTAAAATGATTGGTAATAGACATGATACTAAATCCACATGTGCTAGGTTAGGTTAGGGTTACTATTAGAAGCATATTTGTGATGTTTAAACTCGTCACTAATGGGCCAGGCCTCTGACTAGTAATGTTAATAGTTTATTCCACACACTGCTTTACCGACATTTACATTATTTATATCGTATACTGTATCAGGGAACAACTCACAAGCTCTTATTGATGGAGAGAAAAAGATGTCCAAATTCGACAATTAAAAGTGGTTCATAATTTGCTATCGAATTGTGGTTGTTATCTTAAACATTGTGAATACCGCTGCAGCGTGAATGAGGTTGGTGAACTGTTCTGGCGTCTATTATATTATTTTATTACTGATGCGATAAGTATGATTTATACCTACATGCTCTCTCTCTCTATCCCGTACTGTGTGTATATATGTATACTCACCCGTCCGCTAGGCAGTGACAGAGTGGTGGTGATGGCAGGGTCTGTTAGTGATGGCAGAGTCAGCTGGTGATGGCAGAGTCAGCTGGTGATGGTAGATTAGCTGGTGATGGCAGATCAGCTGGTAATGGAAGAGTCAGCTGGTGATGTCAGAATCAGCTGATGATAGCAGAATCAGCTGGTGATGACAAAATAAGCTGGTAATGACAGAACCAGCTGGTGATGACAGTCAGCTGGTAATGACAGAATCAGCTGGTGATGACAGTCAGCTGGTAATTACAGAATCAGCTGGTGATGACAGTCAGTTGGTGATGACAGAATCAGCTGGTAATAGCAGAGTCAGCTGGCATTGTGGTAAGAATAAGCTGGTGATAATATAAACCCACTGGTGACGGTAAAACTCCGACTGATGGTAATGTCTGGCACCATAGACAGACAGACAGTCACTCTGGGGGTGGGTGGGCCTCGTCTCCTGCCTAGCAGCGCTACTTATCAGCTGGTTGTGTGACTGACTGCTCTGGCCACGACAGCTTAGAGGCCTGAGAGAGAACAGTGGGGGGGGGGGCGGTGGGCAGGAGAGGTTAGTAAAGGGGAGAGAGTAATGGCGGTGGAGGAAGTGGGTGGGGCACAGGGTAACTGAGGTATGATGAGGTATGGAAGGGTGTAGTGATAGTCTATGTCTGAATGAGGTGGATAGTGGAGGCATAGAAATAGTGGGTTTAGTGAGTGGGAGGGTAGGTGGGTTTAGTGAGTGGGAGGGGGGGTGGGTTTAGTGGTGGGAGGGGGTGGGTGGGTTTAGTGAGTGGGAGGGAGGGTAGGTGGGTTTAGTGAGTGGGAGGTAGGTGGGTTTAGTGAGTGGGAGGGTAGGTGGGTTTAGTGAGTGGGAGGAGGGTATTGGGGGAGGGAAGGAGGTATGGGGTGGTAGCAGTGGTGTGGATGAGGGAGAGGAGGAATGCAAGTGTGGTGAGGAGGGGGTTACTTGAAGGAGGAATATAATTGCGGTAGTGGGGGTAGAGAGGGAGGAGAGGGTGTGGTGGAGGGAGAGTGAGAGGGGATGTGGTGGGGGAGGGTAAGAGCGATGTTGTGGAGGGAGAGTGAGAGGGGATGTGGTGGGGGGAGAGTGAGAGGGGGTGTGGTAAAGGAAGGGTAAGAGGGATGTGGTGGACAGGAGAGTGAGAGGGGGTGTAGTGGTAGTATTGGTTTGTGAGTGAGTGGGGTAAGGGGAGATGGGGGAACATGGTGATGATCGGAAGATGAGGAATGTATGTAATAGGGGTGAGAGGGAAGGAGAGGTGGTCAATTCCTCCTGTCTTATCAACATCACCACCATATCCACCATCACCACCACCATCATCACCATCACCATCACCACCACCATCACCACCACCATCATCACCACCACCACCATCACCACCACCATCATCACCACCACCATCATCACCACCACCACCATCACCACCACCATCATCACCACCATCATCACCACCACCACCTTTATCACCTCCGATTTCAATTTCACCTGAAATCTTAAGAGAAATCTGTACGTACTATGGTTAATACAAAATTATAAATTGTCTTGCTAACATAGTCTATATTTCAGACATATACAGACAAATTCATATAAACCTGCCCTTCGTAAGTTCACAGACAGACGGACATACTCAGGCATCTAGAAGACGTCGGAACATTGCCCAATAAGACCAGAAGGTGGCGCCTGAAATTAGATTAGCACTTTCATTGTGTAAAGCGCTATAAAAAGTTGCTCCTGGGTTGACACGTGTAGCGACATCGTCATTATCACCAGCACCATCTCTATCCTCACCCATTATACTGTATTACCATTCGGTCACTTCTCTTATATCCAGCTGTCTACCGCCATTCCTATGAGTACACCACTATCACTATTATAGTAATAATATTGCTATAACTGTTAACTCTACCTTTCGGTAAAGATAAATGAAGGGGTCATAACCTTATGTGTTGCAATATTTCGACGCGGTTACTGATAATGTGTTTCATGCTGGGATACACCTCAGTGGGAGCTCTTGTAAGTTGTAACTGCAGTTTAACTCAGTTGTTAAAGTTGATTCTCATTATATACAGGTAGGAAACTAGTCAGGGTGATCTTATTATTGAGCAATTATTAATATTTTTCATGAGTGGTTTTGATAGCAGAGCTTTTACAGTAACTAGGCTGTAATGCAGTGGACAATTGTTTTTTAAGCGAAGAAGTCTAATCATAAGTCATGACTGTTTATTCTCATCTGTTAAAATGTGTGGATGATTCATAAGGCAACTTCATCGCATTTTATAAGAATGTTTTCTGACCTAATCAAGCAAAAACGGCAAACTAGTCACTCATCAAATTTAATTAATTTTGGTACGTAGTATAATAAGTACGAACTGAATTTATTACCATTTATCATATAAAACTTGTCGGCTTTCATTCACATGGGACTAACTAGGATGATTATTGTACAGTAACCAGTGAATCATGAGACAGTGACTGGGAACGGTCAGGACTCTACCACTGCCTTTATAGTTACAAAGTTATAAGAACCGTAAGAAAATTTATAAGTCCACTTTATAAATGTAAGTCCAGGTGCCCCATAACACCTTGAATTTTTTAACAAATGTAAATATTTCCCTTCTGAGTTTAATATTGTACCCCATACCCAAACTAGGTTTTGTACTTAACAGAGTTCATGGTATGCTCTGAGGTGCACGTCTAGTCCACACTTCATTGATTTCAACAATGTATTATTCATCTTTATCACAGGTGCGACTGCCAACTTGGATATAGTACTCTTATGTTGTTGGTTCGCGCCTGGGCACCCAGGCTGCGATCCTACCGATTAATATTACAATGAATATTTAGTACATGTAGCCAGGATACGCGATTCTGGGAGGGATTATTGAAAAGGGTGATTAGGGTCCAAGTAGAATTCATATAGCAAGCACAGGGCACCAACAGTGACGATGCCTTATCACAAAGGAACGTGGCTATATTCAACACCTGATAAATTATTTTTATTTGGCACTTTGCAGCTAAGAACCGGGCACAAGGATCAAGGATGAGTAACAGAAATGAAGTAAAACAGAATGTAATGATATTAACATTCTGTAACATATTAGATGAAGTGCCGTTTGTTTACAAGTGACAGCTGACTCATAGGATCCCAACCGCAGGCCATCCTGCCCATTTACACATGTTGGTAGCCCACCCAGTGAATCGGGATCTCGACCCTATAGTGCCCGAAGCACATTCTTGAATAACGCCTGCCACCATGAGCTTTTAGTGAATACTGCCCTTAGGCCGATACATGTACTATTAATGACAATCTTGATGTGGCCCCTAATCGTAAGTTAGACAAGCAGGTCTTGTCGATGGATACGCTAAGTGGCTTGTTATAAATTATGATAAACAGACTCCTAGTGTGAAGAAACACAGCCATTGAGAGGTAAGGCTCATCATCTCAGAGGTTAGGGAGGATGGTGTGTTTACCCTCCAATGCTTCAGTTGTGAAATCTTTTAATTTTCTTTGGTAGTTTGTCGTTTTTCATGGTTGGCAATTGAAGCAATGTTGAGTAATTTTAACAATTATCATATAAACGTCTTTAATCTTCCTGAAATGCACAACACATTTGATTTGCTATATTAAAGATATCTTAGCTGTTGAGGAATTCAGGAGTGTACAGTAAAGGAAAACTGTTCTGTAGTCAATGACAAAACAGTACAGGACTTCTATGTAATTTAATGCAATACCAGTCTATTTAGTGAGTATAAATTTGTGTTGCAATGCACTCACTTCTCCTCATTCTCTGAATAAGTTTTGCCCAATTCTAGCTTTAAGATGTCAGAGTTGAGGGTTTTGGTATCTCCTGTTCTATGTTTGTCTTTGATACCCCCAAAATGTTCTACACTACTGAGGGTATACACAAACACTTGTTATCTTGAAAATAGGTTCTTATTCTCGTACGGGAGATATACAGAGGAAACAGATAGACAGTGGGCTTCCACACCATAAGGACTAGCGATCTCCTCTCTCTCTATCACTCCGCGCTGGCATGTACAGATGCCAGCATTCACAAGCTGAATACATAATATGTAAATATGATAATTCACATACATAACATGGTGCATAATAAATGGAAATATTACATGTCATTCAGCCACCCAGTGTTGTCATTCAGCCACCCAGGGTTGTCATTCAGCCACCCAGTGTTGTCATTCAGCCACCCAGTGTTGTCATTCAGCCACCCAGTGTTGTCATTCAGCCACCCAGGGTTGTCATTCAGCCACCCAGTGTTGTCATTCAGCCACCCAGTGTTGTCATTCAGCCACCCAGTGTTGTCATTCAGCCACCCAGTGTTGTCATTCAGCCACCCAGGGTTGTCATTCAGCCACCCAGTGTCGTCATTCAGCCACCCAGGGTTGTCATTCAGCCACCCAGTGTTGTCATTCAGCCACCCAGGAAATGGGAAACGGTGAAGAATGGGCGGCTGAATGGTGACCATTATAACAGTACCAAGTCACAGTGCCAGGAGTAAATAACTAGCGATAATAATTAACAGTGACCTCAAGATTCAGCACTAACAGGAAACTGAAACAACAACACGCCATAGCAACGCGAGAAGTATACATTCATTAGAGAGGCGTAGAGTTAGGGGAGATATGATAGAGGTGTACAAGTGGGTAAGTGGGATAAACAAGGGTAAAATGGAAGATGTTCTGAAGCTCAGTAATAACGAAATAACTAGAACAAATGGCTTTAAATTAGATAAATTCCGATTCAGAAAGGATATAGGCAAGCACTGGTTTGGTAATAGAGTTGTGGATTTGTGGAATAGGCTACCGAGTGCTATAGTAGGATCGGGGACGCTAGGGAGCTTCAAGACGAAGTTGGATAGGCACATGGAAGTGCTGGGATGGGTGTGAAAGGGATCTGCCCTGTATGGGCCAGTCGGCCTCCTGCAGTATCCCACTTTCTTATGTTCTTATGTACTGATATGTAACAGAATCACAAGTAGGCGGTGTGAAGTAACATTAAACGCAGCACAAGCAGGCAGTTTAAAGCATCATCAGGAACATCACAAACACAAGCAAGTAACGTAAGACAACGACAAGCAACACCAGAAACGCCAGCAGATAGAATACAAAAAAAAAACGGTAACAGCCCACTAAAGTAGCTTATGCGTGATAAAGCAGGGGTCTGCCAGCAGCCCTAGCCACACCCGTACGTGCCATATATCATTAGTAAGTTAGGAGTATTAGTTTTACAGAATGTCATTAAAGTAATGAAATCCCAAGGCCGCCCACAACCTCTTGAATTTAGGGCGCCTCTGACGACTGAGGAGCTGTGTGTGTCGTTGCATGTCTCTGGGTGAAAGCATATTGACTCCTCCATTATTTTGCAGATACGTATTAGACTTACAATGAATTATGTGATTTTTTTCCCTAAATTGGGCATTAGGGATATGTTATTTTAGGATTAAGGTGATGTAAATCAACCGT